TTCAAATGCAAGACCTTGACGTGAAGCAACTTGGAAGAATGAAGTGTATCGGGGGAATGCATGCAGGGCGATAGTGCGGGTTCGAATCCCAGGTAATGTCTTGAAAAAATAGGAGAAATGAAAAATTAATAACATCCCTATGATTTTTTTGCAAGTTGGTCATCAAGGTGGTAGACGGTGATGAGCTAGGCAAAAAAGCATAGCGCAGGCCCTGAGCTTCCAAGCTCTCTCATTTCAGTATAACCTTGCAGTCCACACCCACTTTAGACTTGGCTGGGTCAGCAGGGCAACGCTCTAGCAAAGTTGCCCTTATGGTCTTTGAGTGTTAGAAACTTCTGACTCATTGAGTATGTCCATTCTGTTGCCAATGCCTAGATTATCAGCAATCCCGTTCCTCACTGTTGCCTACATCGCAGGAAAGCTCTGCTGATATTTACGGAGGTTTAGTTGATAACTTGCACTAGTTGTATGGAACGTTTTCATTCAAATCTGAAGCACTTGAGTAACTTGAGCTAAAATAAGTTAGGTCACACCTACCGGGGATCAAAAGTAGGGAGGGAGGAAGGCCTCTCGGTTACTGGCCGACTGCTCTATCACTAAGATATAGGCACCATACAACCTCTGCATGTGTCCAATATCAGGTACTGTATTCTTCAAGCTGTAAATACTGGCTATGTTTCCACATATGTACTATACCTCTGAATACATTGTACTGCAGAGTATGTGTCCATGTTCTGATGAGAGGGAGGGGGGGGGGTATAGCAGGTCGTGTACTTTCAAAGGAAGTTCAGCGGTTGCTAAGAGATATGATTCACGTGATACAATATATCCCCGGTAGGCTTTCCCCAAATCAAGTTTTTTCGCCTATTCGGCTTTTCCCTGGGCTCAAAAATACACCAGATTCGGCTGTAAAATCAGCTGATTGTTCGAAAATCGGCTGCAAAGTTGGAATACTTATATTGGAAAATCGGCTAAAAGAATTGTTGGCATATTGGCTTCAAAATTGCACTTTGCAACAACATTTGGTAGATTTTCAGCGATTCTCAAAGCAATCCTCCAAAATTGGCGAAAAGCTAAGCGATTTTTCGATAAATGTAGAAAGGAAAAGGACATATGGAAACGAGTGACTCTCCACCAATGTAACTAGATACTATATACAGTCAGAAAGTGCAACAACTTCCATATGTCCTTTTTCCTTTCTACAATTATTATTGGCTCAATACCAGAGTTTCAGATTTTCCATAAGTCTCGTTTTCAGCGAATGTTTTGGACATCGGAAGCTCAACAGTGCAGGACGCCCGATTTGGGGAAAGCCTATCGAGCGGTCATGCTTGCAGCAACATCATTCGTTCGTAAACGCACTTTGGAACAACATGTGGTAGATTTTCGGCGATTCTCAAAGGAACCCTCCAAAATCGGCGAAAAGCTTAGCGATTTTCGATAAGTCTAATTTTCGGCGAAATTTTCGGCCGATTTGGGGAAAGCCTAATCCTCAGTCATGTTTTCTCTCACAAACCACATACCCGCAAACTTGACTTGACAGCATTTAGTTCTTGTCTTAGGTTGGCAGAGTTTCTCTCTGAGCTCTGTTGAAGGATAGCAGTCCAAAGACCAATACAACACACAACAATCATGAGATACAGGAAACATAAACCATCATGCTATGCTATGAGCCTAATTACACGATTTGATCATATCCAATAACTGATCCAGACATTGGCAGTAAAACGGGCATGTGTCACTTCAGTCATTGAGAACAATCAGCATCCCATATACAGTACTCGAAGTATTACAAAGGCAGTACTTAAAGGATTACAAAGGCAGTACTTAAAGAATTACATGTATCTGGTTATCAGCATCAGAGTTCTGGCACTTCGAACAGCAAGCTAGAGGTTACTCTGCTGATTATTTAACTGAATCTTTTTATCTGTTCCTTAGCTTACCTCAAACTTGGTTTGAAGCTGGCCCAAAGTTTGTTGCAGGCTCGCAGCTCTAGTATTTGAGCTCTGAAGTGAACAAAGTCGACAGGTTACCACACAATCATTATACGATTAGAGTTTCTCGCGAATATTAGATTCCCTGATAAAGGGGAGAGGTGTGTTCAAACCAGAACTAACCAATAACTTTGGTACATTGCCATAGCTTGAATAGTGCATTGCTAGGCCCCTGAGGCTGCCACGACAACCTATCCCTATGTGCACATGCATAATTTCTCTCTCTTTCCCGAAACTAGAGCAAGAGTGTATCATTGTTGTACATGCATTACATCCCCCTAACCCCTCACCTCCCCGCCCCATAGCCTCCCCTCCCCTCCCCTCCCCTCGCCTCCCCTCCCCTCGCCTCGCCTCCCCTCCCCTCCCCTCCCCTCCCTTCCCCTCACCTCCCCTCCCCTCCCCTCCCCTCCCCTCACAGACTGTTTGTTTGTCAACTGACTTACCTCAAACTTAGTTTGCAGCTGGCCCAAAGCTTGCTCAAGACGTGCAGCTCTCCCGTCAGAATTCTACATAGACAGAAACGTAAGATTCGCCAACACATAAAATAGTTTGCACCTCTTGCAAGCGGGGGCTTTTTGAGCCAGGTACACGGATACCTTGCTCATTGACCCCGCTTGCAAGATTTTTTCAATCGGATGGAAATACTGTGCGTAGCTTTCGAGTTTAGAAACAATGAGTGAGAAGTAGTGGTGAAACGAATACTGTATTCGAATATTCGAACATTCGTTCGGTTTGTCACATTCAAGTATTCTTTTAAAAGGCACATTCGAATATTCGTGATGTCGCCTCGAATGCAGTGCATGTACATACATGCATGCCGAACACAGTACAGTGCAGTGCGCACAGCCTGCCTGTGACTTTGTACTGCATGTTTGCACATGTATGTGCATACTGGACTGCCAATGTTGCACATAACATGTTTGTATGAACTTCGAAGTAGCCTTATGTGGCAGTGCATTTTATGTGGCACTACCGTTTGTCATACCTAATAATAATGACAATATCCGTCAAATGACTGAGAGGAGGATTTGAAAAGGGCATGTGATGTCATCTGTGTTACCAAAAGAATATTCGTTCATTCGTTCGTTAAGCCAAAGAATATTCGACTACTAGGTTTTAACATTCGTTTCACCACTAATGAGAAGTAATGCACTTCGAAGTCTCCATTGTATCGTAGTATTGAATTCAATAGTGATTTGAGTTTGTTGTTTGTTTGTGAGAAATCTGGTTTTGGACGTAGTAGTGGAGGTAAGTTCTTTAAGCTCAGGTGAGTGCGGCACTTTTGCTGTACCGACGGTGTACAGAGCTTTGGCATGCTCCCATCCTCTCACGGTTCTGTGTAGTGCATTTTGTAACTGGATTTTTGATCGAAAGGATGGCAGTGGCAAAATGCATTGCACAGAATCGAGAGGGTTTCTGTGCATGCCAATGCAGGGTGCACCGTAGTAAACAGGGATTTCGTACCATGCCATAGGATAACATGACATATAACCTAGAGACAGTTCGGGGAGTCTACATACAACCTACACAAAGGTCTGCGAGTCTATATAAAACTTATACACAGGTCTGGGAGTCTATATATAACCCAAGGGCGTCGGAAGCTGCGACTGGTACGGCTCGAGCCGTACCACTTTTGACTCCAGGTGGTCCACGCGGAACGTCCAAATCCGGTGTAAAAAAAATAGGGGTATCGAGTTTGTGCATGACCACACGTGAACGGTGATCGTGAGCCGCGATCCGTCACCGGTGCACCAGTAAGGTCACTGCACCGTGTAACGCGTGACTAGACTGTCGACTGCGGAACTGCATGGCATGTATGCGTCATACCTTTGGAAACCCTCGGTGAGGGGAATTTTGAGTGTTTTTTTGAAAAAAATTCCCGCGGGAAGTTTCCCCCCGGACCCCCTCTGACTGTCGAGCCGTACCACTTTCTACCTCCTTCCGACGCCCCTGTAACCTATACATAGTTCTGGGAGTCTGCATACAATCTACACACAGGGCTGGGAGTCTATATATAACCTATACACAGGTCTGGGAATCTGCATACAATCTACTTACGGGTCTGGGAGTCTGGGACATACACCATCACCATGAAGTATAGTGTAACAAGACTCAGAAAGGAATTTAAGTACTATTCTCCATTCTACCTCCTTCTTTTAAAAGCACATTATTTTTATCAAATTACTGTTTCACCCTGTTGCTGGACCATGCCCGAACAATCTGCTGAACTTAAGGTCACCCTGCAGCAAAGAGATAATATTATGGATTGAGGAAAAGAGAAAACTACTTTAACAAATGAAAGAGTAATCACAAATCCGTACTCACCTGGACGTATGTGGTATGGTTTTGGTTTTGCTGCATTGCTTCCAATCTCTGATCGAGGTTTCGATTGACGGTGGCTTGGAGACGGGAGAGAAAAGCAGTGACAGCGTCGGACGACTTCTTTTCCGCATTTGCTGAGCTTGTCAGCAGGCTGTTCGTCATGGTGGTAAGTTTGGACAACGATGACGTCATGTTTGCCAGGATGTGTTTGGACAACCATTCTGTCATCAAGCCCGCACACAGTCAAAAACAAAAGGGGCATTACGTCAAGAAAAAAGGACAACTATACAGCTGGTTTTACTCTTTCAAGGGGAGAGACTTTGGTGACCAAAGATTGTTCATCACGTTTATCAGGACAATTGTAAGAAAAATCACCATGATTTTTTATGCATTTTAGCAATCATTGCTCCCAGTTGATAGAGTGATAGACAGACAAGCAGAGAGAGACAGAGGCAGAGAGGCACAGACAGATAGATAGAGAGAAAGAGACACAGAGACACAGAGACACAGAGAAATGGAGGCAGAGAGACACAGAGAAATGGAGGCAGAGAGACAGAGGCAGCAGATGAGAGTGAAAAGGATTAGAATAGAAGAGAAGAGGTAGCTAGGCAAATATGAGAGTTAGCAACATCAGAGTGAGACTGCAGGCAGCACTTTTGCTTCGCTTTCCATAGTTGGGTTGTCATCAGAGACACAGAGACACAGAGACACAGAGAGATGGAGGCAGAGAGACACAGAGAAATGGAGGCAGAGAGACAGAGAGATGGAGGCAGAGAGACACAGAGAAATGGAGGCAGAGAGACAGAGAGATGGAGGCAGCAGATGAGAGTGGAAAAGAATAGAAGAGAAGAGAAAAGGAACTTGGAAAATATGTGAGTTAGCAACATCAGACTGCAGGCAGCACTTTTGCTTTGCTTTCCATAGTTGGGTTCTCATCCCTATGGACGTGTAGCAAGGTAATCTATGACTCGTGCTATCAAGACGGAGGTGTGCTGTTGTGGTAATGAAAAATATCACCCATGCCCTAGATACCCAGTGGATGCCAGTAGTATTTGGACAGGTCATTGACATTATTCACTGTTGAAAGGGGATGAAGAAGCCCCTTACTTCCCATTCAATTCAATACGCATTCATGTGAATGTGTTTTGCAGTTTGGGATCTCATTGTCGCCAGCCATGGCCAGTTAGCACCATGATGGATAACGTTATCATGATACAATAGACATGTGTCCGTACTTACGTCTTTGACAATGTCGTCCTGTGTAGAGTGTGGGACATTGGCATGTGTATCCTTCACTTGTCTCCTGACAAGTACCACCATTCTTACACAGAGATGATGAACAGCTTGGTAACGCTGTGGTTTACAATGTCATGTACACGGGACAAACCAACACAACAACACCGGTTCATAAATACCTCCGTCTCTGAGCCAGACAAGAGGTTAGAGGGAACCCCCTTGATTCAGGCTTCGGCGTTTGGGGAGTCCCTCAAATAATAATAAGGGTTGAGTGGAATTGGATCTAACATGGCTGACTGGTATGTTCCTGTGATAGATGTGAAACCACCCTATTCATCAGTCCCGATGGTTCCAAGACACTGTAAACTGGAGATGATGTTCATCAACACAAGTCTGTAGTAGAGCTGTGCTCGGTGAAATCCGACCCAAAGTGCATATTTGGCTTCTCAACTTGAACACCCTTTGACGTGGTAGGAATGCTGCTGTATTTACACATGCACAAATACACTGATGCAATTGGAACTGGTCCAGGTCGACAGTTAAGCACTTTGGGTCGGATTTCAGTGCGTTCAACTGCACTTACCCCTTTGTGTGGGGTTTTAGTGAGCTGCTCAACTGTACAAATCACTTTGTGTGGGATTTCAGTGAGCTGCTCAACTGTACAAATCACTTTGTGTGGGATTTCAGTGAGCTGCTCAACTGTACAAATCACTTTGTGTGGGATTTCAGTGAGCTGCTCAACTATACAAATCACTTTGTGTGGGATTTCAGTGAGCTGCTCAACTGTACAAATCACTTTGTGTGGGATTTCAGTGAGCTGCTCAACTGTACAAATCACTTTGTGTGGGATTTCAGTGAGCTGCTCAACTGTACAAATCACTTTGTGTGGGATTTCAGTCAGCTGCTCAACTGTACTCGTATCACTCACCATGCTGACAAAACCGTCCGCTGACACCCCTAGAGCACACACATCTGTACCCTGGGTACGGTGATCCTGATGAACCAGGTTCCCTACTGTACACACACCGACCAAGATGCTGGCATGGTGATTGTCGCAGACACTCTGTATCATCATGGTTACCTTCAAACACAGGAACAGTAAAAAAATTGATTCACCAAACTTGAATAATTGAATTTTTCTGTTTCCGTGATCAGGATGTGTGTGTGTGTGTGTGTGTGTGTTTGTGTGTGTGTGTGTGTGTGTGTGTGTGTGTGTGTGTATGTGTGTGTGTGTGTGTGTGTGTGTGTGTGTGCAGGGGCGTCACAGACGGTACGACCACTACGACCATGGTTGTACAACTTTTCGTCCAGGATGGTCCACCCAATTCATCCGAAAAAGCAATAAAAAAATTCAAGGTTCTTCGGACTTGTACAAAATATCACAGCTTTCATTGCAAGGAGCATATTTGGTTCAGACTTAATGCCTAGCAGCTAGCTATTGCCCAATACTCCAGCGGCTATATGCCGTTGGAGTTGCGGGTAGAGACAACCAGGCGATGGATTCCTCACGGACGCATTCACTGCAAACTTGACGGAAACAGCGCTGGCGGCGATCACTGGGTCCAGAACTACAATTTTGTCAACGGAATAGGGAAGGGCTTCATTCTTCGAAGTTGAAAAGTGTTTGGACTGCTGCTCGACGGCGGCAGAACATTCTGCAGCTGATCACCGACACGACCAGCTTCACCAAACGACATACGATCGTTTTGTTCTCCGAGTTTTCTGCAGCAACAAGCATCCGCAACGACAGTACAAAAGTCCCTCACAAACTAAAGTCCTGTTGCCACGAAGACAGAGAAGATTCCGCAAGCTCATTCTTCTGCTTCCAGTGTTGTAACTCACCGGTCCACTGGCAGATCTTTCAATCCCACGGAACAAAAAAAAAGGATCTTCTTCTCTCTCTAAAACCAAGTAACATTACTTCGCGAGTGCACTAGTGTCCGGGCCA